CTGACTGGAGATTTTACAGTATCCTTCCCCTGCCACACTCGCAGAACTGGTAGTAAAAAAAAATTGAACCCCACCAATGAACTGCATGATTCATTTAACCACTGCAGAGATTTGACAATGGTGGTAAAAGGGGGGATCAAATGGGGTACAGCTTGTTTAGCAATAGAAATTGTGGGTTCATTTTGGTTGTTAAGTCGAGAACAATCTGCAGTGGTCAAAAGCCATTCATTCTAAACAGAGACTCTCAAAGCAGCTAACAACTCTTATGAAATCGCAGTAAATAAAAGAGCTGAAAATTAATGGTTGCAATGGAGCTGGTGGAATACTCTGGCTTTTTTAACCTGGTCCTCTGCTTTCCAGATGTGTTGGAATCCCCAACATTCCCAGGTAGTGCGGCCAAGTTGGCAAAGACTGGATTACTCAGCCAATTAATCAACCCAAATCTGTATGATTAATCAACCGAAATGGGACGACACCGCCTTAATTGTAACAGAAGATTTGGGACAGCTTTGATCTTTCTCGCAGCGCCTTTTTAACACACCCTCGATAATCCAAAATATGTTCTCCAGATGTGCCTGGAAAATCGCCTGCAAGATAAAATGGCACTTCCAGAAATTATTTGCTTCCTATACCTCCCACACTTTTTATCTGGGGTAGGGGCTAGAAAACGGGGGTCCAGATTCCATTCCCAATACTGTTCTCTGTTAGTAATACCTGTGTTAATACTGGTAGTCCTCAACCTACAACCACAATTGAACTCAAAATTTCTGTGCTAAGCAAGAGAATTGTTAAATTAATTTATCCCATTTTACAACCTCTCTCTTCTCTTACAACCTTTCTAAGTGAATCACTGCAGTGAATAAGTTGCTAGCATTGTTGTTAAGGGGCTTTCTCATTAATTTTGCTTGTCAGAAGGTTGCAAAAAGGGATCACATGGTCTTGGGAAACAGCAACGGTCATAAGTATGAACCAGTTGCCAAGTGTCTGAATTTTGATCATGTGACCACGGGGATGCTGCAGCAGTTAAAGTAATAGCAATATTGCTTAGACTTGTATACCGCTTCACAGTGCTTTACAGCTCTCTCTAAGCAGTTTACAGAGTCTGCCTATTGCCCCCAACAAACTGGGTCCTCATTTTTCCTACCACTGGAAGAAATATCCATCTGGTTCAGTTCCAAGTGGGGAGAAAGACACTGGAAACATGGAGGCTGATTGGAAAGATGTTTTATTGATGGACAGGACCACATGGGTTGAGGTCTTGGTCAGCTGACCACATGAAGTTGAGAGAGGTATTTATACCCTCTCTTGGGCTTTGCCCTTGAGCTTCCTGTTCCTGTGGCAAGAGCATGTATTCTATTGGCTGTAGTCAGACTCCCATGTGGTGTCATGTTTGTCTGAATCAAGTTTGGTGGAACTTTGGGCTGATGTAATGTTCCCAGGTGATTTCGCAATGCAATGAGCCCTGGGTAGAGGGCTAATCCTATTATATCCTGAGGGGTCGTGTCTTAATCCCATTACCCTGGATCAGGAGGACATTTGTGTTGTGGATAGGCTGGCCCAGTCTTTCTTAATGGACACCAAATATCTGCTGTGGGAAGGGAGCTGCTTTGTCTTTAAAAGCAGGTTTCTCCTTTTCCCATCCAGGGAAATATAATATTCTGCCTTTTTAATATTTCCTAGAATATTTCATTCTTCTTGGAGAGGGGTAGGTGCCAGAGGCGGTATTCAGCAGATTCTGACCTGTAGAACCAGTAGCGGAAATTTTGAGCAGTTCAGAGAACCAGCAAATACCACCTCTGACTGACCCCACCCCCATCTATTCTCTGCCTCCCATCGAGTCCCAGCTGATCGGCTGGGTCTTCTTTGGTTGCCCTGCACAGGAGAACAGAGCTGGAAAGGAGGTTAGTGGGGTGGGGAGGGATGGGATTTTGCAGTAACCTTCTCCCAGGAATGGGGAAGGAATGGGGATTTTGCAGTATCCTTCCCCTGCCATGCCCACCAAGCCATGCCATGCCCTCCAAGCCACGCCCACGGTAGTAAAAAAAAATTGAATCCCACCACTCGTGGGTGCTAACTTTCTATACAAACTTGGAAGGATGGAAGGCCAAGTCACCTTTCAGCCAGTCAGGATTGAACTGCTGGCAGTGAGCAGAGTCAGCCTGCAATATTGCATTCTAACCACTGCGTTACCACGGTGCAAATAAGTATGGAAAACTGTTTAAATCAGTTTTTTCAGAGCCATTGAAAAAGGACTGCCTGTATTCCCAGCCAGCTTCCAACAAAGTCAATGGGGGAAGCCAGATTTGCTTAACAACCATGGCATAAGATGTAGTGAAATCAGACATGGTCACATTATGACTCATTTAATGACTGTATCACTTATTGCTCAAAGTTCCAGTCCTGATTGTAGTTGTAAGTTGAGGACCACCTGTAATAGTTAATTTGAAAGGTACACTTAATATTTTTGTAAGAACCAAAGACCTTGGGGGCAGGGGACATATGTCATATATTTAAGTGAACATTATTTTCTCTGTTTTTCTGACAGGGATTTTGGTGAGTTCCTCTGTTCTTTTAAGTTCTGAAGTTTGTTTTAGGGGTACGCTACTGCTTTTGGCCGTATTTATACAGCACATTTAATTGAGTCAAAATCCTACACAATACCGAAAACTTAATTAGTATTCATGATCCCAAGCTTTGTTCTGCTTTGCTTCACTTGTGTGTGAGAGAACTCACCCATTTGTTGAGTTTGTGGTTCAATGCATAAGTGTGTGAAGTCACCCAAACAAGTTCAGTCCCCAGGTTGAATGTTCGCTATTATGCATGGCTCTGGAATTAGGGCTGGGAGGGATGTAGTGTTTGCAAGGGAATTCGTGTTTGCAAGGTTGAAACTCCAGAAGGGTTGAAAAAATAGATTTCAAAAACAAACAAACAAACAAACAAACCCCACACACAACCCTGGAGCACAAAGGAAAGAGATTCCTATTAGCAGGTATTTTCATGCCCACCATTAGAATAGAATAGAATAGAATAGAATAGAATAGAATAGAATAGAATACCTGTAGTGTCATTGCATTCTACAAATACAATGAAATTTGAAAGTTACTTTAGCATAGGGTCCCAAACATCACATCACAATCACACTACAGAGTATTTAAAAATTAAAATAATTAAATAATAATTAAAAACCTAGATTAAAACCTATCTAAAACGTATAGTAACTTAATGGATCCTCAACTCTCCCTGTAGATCAGGGGTCCCCAAACTTGGCAACTTTAAGGCTTGGGGACTTCAAATCCCAGGATACTCCAGCCAGCATAGCTTTTTTTATATTCGCCTCTAATTATCCCTAATAAAAACATTTCCGGTTTGAATTCTATTTTTTCCTTTGTTATTTCTTGCAGCCAAATTTTTATTTTATTCCAGAATTTTTTTGGCTTTGGGGTACAACCACCACGTATGAAAGAAGGTACCCGTTGTTTGTTTACACTTCCAACATATTGGACTCAAATTTGGATGTATCTTCTTGATGGTGCTAGATGCCAACGATAGAACATTTTATAAAGGTTTTCCCTATATGAGGCTGCCATTGTTAATTCATAATTTCTCTTTCAAAGTCTTAAAGTTGCCAGGTTTGGAGATCAAAGGCTAGAGGGCAGAGGTGAGGAATGATGGCCCCTTTATGACTTATGATCCTTAACTCCCAAAATTCCGGGGCCAGGAATTCAGAAGGGCCATCGTCCCCCACCCCTGCCATAGCATCACTTTCATTGAGACTTTTATACAGAGCAGTGGGTGTTTTCCTGCCCTTCTCATAGTGGCTACTCCTTTTTTTTTTTTCTTTAATGGGGGCTGCTTCTTGGATCTTCCTTGTTAGTCAACTGGAAAAGCACACCACCTGCGCCTCCAAGGCCCACTTATCTGCCCTCCAGCCTCCCAATCCTTTTCTGCCAGCACCTCACCCTTCCCAGCCCAAGATGTTCAAGCACAATTTTCCTCGTCTATCCGCCCTCCACCTGATCTTTCCCTTTCAGGCCTGGTCTCCCTTTCCTTTGAGTCATCTTCGGTCCAGGGCAGCCCCTTTGCCTTTTCTTTCTTGAGCCTTGCAGCTGCTAGCCTTTCCTCCTTTGTGCCCTTCTCTTCTCTTGGTCCATCCTTCCATCCATTTCATCCAACCATCCACCTCTCTTTTCCTTCTCCCCCTCTCTTCTCTTCTTCTTCCTCTTCTCCCATTCAGCCATCTGATACCTTCTCTTCTCTTTTCTCTTCTCTCATTCAACGATTTGATGCCTTCTCTTCTCTTCCTTTCTTTTCTCCCATTCAACCAC